ATGTGCACAAAAATCCTGAGCAAAATATTCCCAATAAAGTTGAACAGCTTATCAAAACAATAATATACCATGACAGAGCATATAATATTCTAGAAATGATTTAAAATAAGAAATCAGCATAAATTATAACATTAACATACATGGTAGAGTGCTATGGTGTCACAGCTCACAGCAACCTCCAGCTCTTAGGCTTAGGTGATTGTCTTGCCTCAGTCTCCCAAGTAGCTGGAACTACAGGTGCCTGCCACAGTGCCCAGCTATTTTTTATTGCAGTTTGGCTGGGGCTGGGTCCGAACCCACCATCCTCTGTATATGGGGCCAGCACCCTACTCACTGAGCCACAGGCACCACCTGCCTTTTATTTTTTTTTGAGACAGAGTCTCACTATGTCACCCTGGATAGAGTGCTGTGGTGTCACAGCTCACAGAAACCTCAAACTCTTGGGCTTAAGCAATTCTCTTGCCTCAGCGTCCCAAGAAGCTGGGATTACAGGTGCCCACCACAATGCCCCGGCTATCTTTTTGTTGTAGTTGTCATTGTTTTTAGCTGGCCTGGACTGGATTTGAACCTGCCAACCCTGGTGTATGTGGCCAACACCCTACCAACCGGGCTAAGGGTGCCAAGCCTAATATTAACATATCAAAGGACAATATATGAACTAAAGATTTGCCATTTGAAAAGAGTAAGATATATCTAATTAGAGAATATACTTGCATACAGCAAAGAAAATATTAGCTTAATGGTAAAATGTTATACTGATTTCTATAAATTGGATAAAATGCTGAGATGCTATTATCCCAACTCTCAACATAATAATATTTATATAATAAAAGTGAAGAAATAATTATTTGAAAAGAAAATTTCATTTCTATTCACAGATGATATTACCACATAGTTGGAAATACTCCAGTCTATTAAAAACATAAATAAATTACCAGTTTATGGGAGGACCTCATCTAATGTGCATGATACAATGGTACATTTCAAAACTATTAAGAAATGAATATAATTGTGATGGATATGTTACTTAGTTCAATGTAAGCATTTCACATTGTATATCAAAGCAGTACCCTAAACCCCATAAATTTATCAATGTACAAAGTTATGATTTAATGAAAATTTAATAATAAAAAATAAACTTAAAAAAGAGAAAAAATCAAATAAAATTATGAGATAAAATTTTTAAAAATTACTAGTTTATGGCTGGACTGAAAATGGCAACATCCAAATATAATAGGATCATATGGATGGGGGTATACAATCAGTACAAGAGAAATCATGAAGGTACTTTAAAAAGTAACTATCCCATTGCTCAGCACTTGTAGCTCAGTGGTTACAGCGCCAGCTACATAACACTGAGGCTGGTGGGTTCAATCCCAGCCCAGGCCAGCTAAGCAACAATGACTACTGTAATAGAAAAATAGCTGGGCGTTATGGTGGGCACCTGTAGTCCCAGCTACTTGGGAGGCTGAGGCAAGACAATTTCTTAAACCCAGGTGTTGGAGATTCTGTGAGCTGTGACAGCACTGTACTCTACCAAGGGCAACAAAGTGACATTCTGTCTCAAAAAAAAAAAAAAAAAAAGTAACTATCCAGACCAGGCACAGTGGCTCACACTTGTAATCCTAGCACTCTGGAAGGCTGGTAGATCACCTGAGCTCAGGAGTTTGAGACCAGGCTGAACAAGAGTGAGAGACTCTGTCTCTACTAAAAATAGAAAAACTGGCCAGGTGTCGTGGTGGGTTCCTATAGTCCCATCTACTCAGGAGGCTGAGGCAGGATTGCTCCACCCCAAGAATTTGAGGTTGCTGCAAGCTATGGTGCCATGAGACTCTACCCAGGGTAACAAAGTGAGATTCTCAAAAAAAAATAATTAACTTTTCATGTGAAACAACAAAAGAATCAAGATCTATGGTATGTGTGTGTGTTCTACAAATCAGTGAGGAGAAAAAGGGCAAAAGAAACAAATAGGAAAGTCATAGTAAATAACATGATTAGTCAATAAATATGTACAAAAGGTACTTAATGGGTTAGTTAACTATTTTTTTTTAAGTGGACAAGTGGATTTCTAGGATACTTTTATTTCCAGCTGACCAGATTATAAATTACAACAGAAAAGTGGAGTAAATATCCAAGTATATATGAGCTATGACTATGCAATTATAGATTGTTGTTACAGATACCATCTGAAACTCAAAATAGTCAAGGTAGAGTTTAGAAAATTGTCAATACCTAAATACTGATCAGTATGAGAGTTTTCATTTAGGAATATTCACACAGCTTCACCTGGAACTTTTTGTTTGTTTTGAGACAGAGTCTCACTTTGTGACATCATAGCTCACAGCAACCTCAAACTCCTGGGCTCAAGCGATTCACTTGCCATACCCGCCCCAGTAGCTGGGACTACAAGCACCTGCCACAATGCCCAGCTATTTTTTTAGAGATGGGGTCTTGCTCTTGCTTAGGCTGGTCTTTAACTGGTGAGCTCAAACAATCCACCCACCTCAGCCTCCCAGAGTGCTAGGATTACAGGTGTGAGCCACCACACCTAGTACATTTTTTACTGTGTAGAAAAGTAACAGTATGATATGTAAAAAAAGGCAGCTAATTGCATATGATCATGTGAGCGGACTGCTATCTCGCCAGGATTTAATCACATGACAGAGAGCAGAAATTCCAGCTTGAGGGTCACTTTTTTAAGTTTTGGCAGCATTGTAGCATATGGCTTCACATCACAAATGTTAGTAGGTAAGCCCAGGAGTGGTAGCTCACATCTGTACTCTGATAGGCCAATGCGGGTGGATCGCCTAAGCTCAAGAGTTCAAGACCCGCCTGAGCAAAAGTGAGACCTCCGTCTCTACCAAAAATAGAAAAATTAGCCAGGTGTTGTGGCCTGTGCCTGTAGTCCCAGCTACTCAGGAGGCTGAGGCAGGACACCCAGGCTGACAGAGTGAGACTATGTCTCAAAAACAAAAACAAACAAAGAAAAAACAAACCCCCCCCAAAACAAAAAAATACAATGTTAGTAAGTAATAGGAATGGAAGTTGCAAGGTAATTTTTGGATACATTGGGTTATGGAAAGACAAACAAACTTTCTATACCTCAGCACACTCCAGTCTTTTGAGAAGCTAATCATGTGCTTTCTTGTTGTTCTAAAAGTGCTTAAATGGCTTGTCTAAGAACAAGAACCATTTTTCAAGTATCAAGTGTAGTAGTAATCTGACTATAGTGAAACCATTCTGCATCATGCATGCCATATTTAATTATCAAAACTTACAAGTGTATAAGGGAAATGATGCTAGTATTTAATAGTAAATCGTTCCCTCCTTGTGTGGACACAATGGATATGGATGAGCAGATAACAGTGAATGAAAACACTTAACATTAGAGACTTTGGCTGACAATGCATAATATGTATTACTTAGTTCGAAAAGGTAGTAATTTTTTTGTAGGATTGGTAGTGATTTTAGGTAGCTATCATCTGTAATTTTGACTCCCTAAATGATTTTAAAAAGGTAGTTTAGCCGGGCATGGTGGCTCACATCTGTAATCTTAGCACTCTGGGAGGCCAAGGTGGGAAGATCCCTTGAGCTCAGAAGTTCCAGACCAGCCTGAGCAAGAGCAAGACCCTGTGTCTCCCAAACACAGAAAAAACAGCCAGGCGTGGTGATATACACCTGTATTCCCACCTACTAGGGAGGCTGAGGCAGGAGGATTGCTTGAGCCCAGGAATTTGAGTTTGCTGTGAGATAGCTGAAGCCATGAACCATAGGTCAGGTGATAGGGTGAGACTATGTCTCAGGAAAAAAAAAATCTCAGAGAGATCTAATGTGACACTTAGGAGAATCTCCATTTAGTGAAATTCCTTTCGGCATCCTCCTGAGGATGTCTAAAGTAGAAAAAAGATGAATCTGAGTGAGACTAAATGACCAGTTGAGTGAGAGCTGCAGGAGAAAGGTATCCTGAATATTCTATTCATTGGAAGCAAGTGGCTAAGTTCAAAGACCTCAACTTTGAAGGGTGGAATTTCAAAGAATTTGTGGACACATTTAAAAAAAACACTACCATTGGCACTTAGAGTGCAAACTGTTTGTATTCCTACAAGGAAAATATGCTTAAGAAGCCCTCAAAATCTCATCCATTTATAGCATCAACTATTCCCAGCCTAGAGTTTCATCATCTGAATCAAGTTCACTGTGGATGAGGACAGCTTTCTCCTGGCACTCTCAGTCTCTAAGCCAGCAGCCAGTGTGGCTGAGCTGCCGGGAGAACAGACCCTTTAAACCCAATCACACTTTCAGAAGACTTAAATCTCATGAAAAGGCCCAATCCAAAAGTATTCAGCCAAGCTGTTCATGAATTTGACCTACAAAGCCTATGAGAGATATTTATTGTTGTGACAAGATAATAAGATTTGGGTTAATTTCTAACACATCCATTTATATCTAGAATGGAAGGCTTTTGGTCATCCATTTAATTAATAAATTTAGTAAAAATTTCCATTCTATGAATGTTGCAGGCATGAAGAAATTCAGATTCCCATGTTTTTCTTAATTTGGCATTGAATACAGACAGTCCATTAAAACAGAACTGACATTGAATGCTTTCTAGTGTGGCAAGAACTGAATTATGAATTCTTTCATTTGCTAAAGATATTCAACCATTTCTCACCAATGTGAATTGTCTCATATTGAAAAAGTTTGGGCTGGGGCGGCACCTGTGGCTCAGTGAGTAGGGTACTGGCTCCATATACCGAGTGTGGAGGGTTCAAACCCGGCCCTGGCCAAACTGTAACAAAAAAATAGGCATTGTGGCAGGTGCCTGTAGTCCCAGCTACTCAGGAGGCTGAGACAAGAGAATCACCTAAGCCCAGGAGTTGGAGGTTGCTGTGAACTGTGAGATGCCATGGCACTCTACCATGAGCAATAAGTTAGACTCTGTCTCTACAAAAAAAAGAAAAAGTTTGGGCCATATTCCTTATGTTCTTAGATGTTTATACCAGTATGAATTCCCTGGTGTGCTTTAAGGGCTGAACTGTATCTGTAGGTTTTCCCACACTGCTTACACACATAGGGTTTCTCACCTGTATGAATTCTTTCATGCTGAATAAGGTTTGAAGCACGACTAAAGGCCTTCCCACATTCCTTACATTCGTAAGGTTTTCCACCAGTATGAATTTTCTGATGTTGGGTAAGGTATCCATACATTTTAAACGCCTTTCCACATTCTTTACATTCATAGGGTTTTTTATCAGCATGAATACTCTGATGTGCATTAAGGTGGGAACTACGTCTGAAGGTCTTCCCACATTCCCTGCATTTAAAAGGTTTCTCATCAGTATGAATACTCTGATGTAGAGTAAGATTTCTATAGAAAGTAAAGGTTTTTCTACATACCTTACATTCATAGGGTTTCACACCAGTATGAATTTTTTGATGCTGATTAAGGTATCCATGCAAGCTAAAGGTCTTTCCACATTCCTTACATTCATAGGGTTTCTCACCAGTATGTGTCTTCTGATGTTGAATAAGGTTTGAGCCAGTACTATAGGCTTTCCCACATTCTGGACATTCAAAAAGTTTTTTGCCAGTATGAATACTCTGATGTCGAGTAAGATTTCTATACAAAGTAAAAGTTTTTTTACACTCCTTACATTCAAATTGTTTCACACCAGTATGAATTTTCTGATGTTGATTAAGGTATCCATATAAACTAAAGGTCTTCCCACATTCCTTACACGCATAGGGTTTCTCCCCAGTATGAGTTTTCTGATGTTGAAAAAGTTTGGAGCCAGTAGTATATGCCTTCCCACATTGCTTACATTCAAAAAGTTTCTCACCAGTATGAATATTCTGATGTCGACTAAGATTTCTATATAAAGTAAAGGTTTTTTTACATTCCTTGCATTCATATGGTTTCCCACCTTTATGAATTCTCTGATGTAGAAGAAGGTATGAGGCAGTGGTATAGCCCTTCCCACACTCTTCACATTCATACGGTTTTTTGCCTGTATGAACACTCTGATGTACAATAAGTTGATGACCTCTTCTAAAGGCCTTTCCACATTTTTCACATACATAAGGCTTCTCATCAGTATGAATTTGCCCATGTTCAACAAGATTTGAGTGCCTACTAAAAGCCTTCCCACATTCCTTACATTTATAGGGTTTTTCACCAGTGTGAATTCTCTGATGGATTCTAAGGTGCCCACCTTGACTAAAGGCCTTCCCACATTCCTGACATTCATAAGGCTTCCCACCAGTGTGAATTCTCTCATGTTGGACAATGTGAGAAGCATAAATAAAGGCCTTCCCACATTCCCTACATTCATAGGTCTTCTCACCAGTATGAAATCTCTGATGTACAGTGAGTTGATAACCACTTTTAAAGTTCTTCCCGCATTCTGTACATTCATAGGGTTTCTCACCAGTATGAAATCTTTGATGCAGAGTAAGTTGATAGCCACTACGAAAGTTCTTCCCACATTCTTTGCATTCATAGGGTCTCTCAATAATATGAAACCTGTGATGTAGAATAAGTTGATAGCCACTACTAAATTTCTTCTGACATTTCTCACATTCATAGAATTCCTCTCTGTTACATATTCTCTGATGTCTTATAGAGGATACATGTGTTTCACAAGTAGGCATTTCTATGTAGCTGATTATCTCACACTGTAAATCCAAATCTGAAACAGAAGAAAAGTTTTCAAAATGTATCTCTATACCAGATAACATGAAACTTTCTCTCGCTCTTTTTTTTTTTTTTTTTGAGACAGAATCTCACTCTGTCACCCTGAGTAGAATGCTGTGGCTTCACAGCTCACAGCAACCTCAAACTTTTGAGCTCAAAAGATCCTCTTGCCTCAGCCTCCAAGAAGCAAGGACTACTGGTGCCTGCCACAATGCCTGGCTAGTTTTTCTATTTTTAGTAGAAATGGGGGTCTCCCTCTTACTCAGGTTGGTCTCAAATTCATGAACTCAAGCAATCTACTTGTCTCAGGCTCCTAGAGTGCTAGGATTACAGGTATGAGCCACTGCACCTGGCCAACATGAAATGTCTATGAAAGAAATAAGAAGTGATACTCAATAAGTAAACAGCTTACAGAATTCTAATATCTGACTATGAAATATGAGCTGGGTGCAGACCTCACACCTGTAATCCCAATAGTTTGAGAGGCTGAGGAAGAAGGATTACTTGAGGCCAGGAGTTAAAAACCAGCCTGAGCAACATAGCAAGAAAAATTATCTGGGTGTAGCAGTGCATGCCTGTAGTCCCAGCTATTTCAGAGAGTGAGGAAGGAGGATCACTTGAGCTGACAAGTTTGAGGGTGTGGTGAGCTATGATGATCCCACTGCATGCTAGCCCAGGTGACAGGGAGAGACTTTGTCTCAAAAAAAAAAATCCCAAACCAAAAAGTATAAAAAACCCCAAACACCCCCCCCCCCAAAGTATAAAAATGTATTAGGATCTAAGCAATGACACTCTAGTATAAGGTGACCAGATGTCCCGCTTTTGGTGGGACAGTTCCAATTTTTAACAACCTGTCCCAAGTCCTACAGCATTTTTAAAAAGTCCCGATTTTTGGAAAGAATGCACAACAAGCTAGGGAAGGTAGGGAGGGGGGCGGCAACGGGAAGGGAATATATGGTTTTCAGCTGCTGAAAAGGTTAATGTAACTCCATTTGGGAATGAAAAGGCTAATGTAAACTAATGTAAACTCTCTACTCCCCTCCTGGGCAAGGTCGCCGGTGCCCTACTTCTTTGAGCCACAGGCCCCGCCCTATACATAATTTTTTTTTTAGTATATTATATTTGTAAATTGTACTTATGTTGAAATTAAATATATATATATTAAAATACTATTTTTGCATTCCATGAAAATTTTTGTTGCTCCATATAGACCAAATTTTTAATTAAGAAACATCCCCCCCAGCCCCACCCCACCCAGTCAATGGCGTCCCGCTTAACCAATGTTAAAATCTGGTCACCTTACTCTAGTACCAATAATCCCATCTATACCCAGATCTTGCTTTATAAAATTTATTCTCCAATCAAAAGAACTATGGCCTTTTGGAAAGTTGGTTGACTGCCAGGCTAAAGCAAGGAAAATACAACATGAGCCTTAAGCTTGAAAACCCTCAAAAAATGATAGCTATATATCAAAAAGACATAAAAGCTAACTCCATCTAATGCCCACAGCTGAGATAATTTGAGTAAGAAAGTAAATGATAATACTGGATTATAACCCCTAAAGTAAACATATATAAGTCCATATTAATAAATAGCTAGAAGAATATATAAATGAAGAAGATACACCTCTACCTTACAAAATTTTAATTAATAATTATAAAACAGGGTGGCACCTGTGGCTCAGTGGTTAGGGTGCCAGCCCCATATACCAAGGGTAGCAGGTCCAAACCCAGCTCCAGCCAAACTGCAACAAAAAATAGCCAGGCATTGTGGCAGGTGCCTGTAGTCCCAGCTACTTGGGAGGCTGAGGTGAGAGAATCGCTTAAGCCCAAGAGTTTGAGGTTGCTGTGAGCAGTGATGACACAGCACTCTACCCAGTGTGACAGCTTGAGACTCTGTCTCAAAAAAAAAAGAATGCCTAATATCCATCTCATGAGATAATAATGTACTAACGACAATTTAGGGACATTTTATAAAATAAGTGACTCATAACCTACACAGTGGTAAAGTCATGAAAACCAAGACAAAATGAAATACATGAGGAATTGTCATGGATTGAGAAGATAAATGCAATGTAAGAAAGATCCTGGGCTAGATCTTTTTTTCTTTTCTTTTGTTAAAGAGGAGGAGTTGAGGATGGGTTTCTTGGCCAGAAGCCAGTGGGGTAAGTCACTTCACTTACAAGAGCCTTGGACATTAGAAAAGGCAAATAAACTATGGAATGATTCATGAATATGCATGTTATCACTGTGCAGGGGCCAGGCTAGTCGTCTCTATATGGTTCCAATTCTCATATATGTGCTGCCGAAGTGAGCAACTTCAAAGTCTTGGGCTCAGGAGATCCTCTTGCCTTAGACTCCAGAGTAGCTGGGACTATAGGTACCCTCTGCAACACTTGGCTAGTTTTTCTACTTTTAGTAGAGATGGGTCTCACTCTTGCTCAGGCTGATCTTGAACTCCTGAGCTCAGGCAATCCACGGCCTCGGCCTCCCACAGTGCTAGGATTACAGGTGTGAGCCACTGTACCCAGCCTCTATGGAGTCCTTAATATCACTAATATTAAATACCTCCCAAACAAAGAAGTGATAACATTAGTAAATTTACCAAATAACTCCAAATATCTGATTATGATGGCTCTTTGGATTAGGTATAAGATCAGTTCTTTGGATTTAATATGGCCTCTGTTGCCTCCTGATTTAGTACACTAGAAACTTTGATCATAATCCTTCCCTGAATATTTGTTTATTCAAAAGTGTGGCCTCCAGAGTAATAAAATGCTACCGAGTCATTACATATTGCACAATATATAATTTTTTACCATACAATAAAATAATAAAATGCTGCTATATAGCCATATGTATAGTCAATGTTACTACGTATGTTCCATCAAATGATCCAACAAATTATCTCCCAACAAAAAAACAAGAAAACATGAAATTTATAGAAGTTGGGAAAAACTCTGAAACACTGACCATGATACATCTAACATACCTACACAACTGAACAGATGGCCCTGTATGGTGGGTCTATCCTCCATTTCAGGCTGCAGAATTACTACAATGTGGGAATGCGAGAGTATACTAGAACTGAACCAAACACAACCCCTTCTTTCTTTCATTTCTTAAAAAATCATCCAGCTGAAAATGTTATACAATCCCTTTTTAAGACTAACTGCTCATTCACCAAGGTTCCAAGTATTACACTTCCTGGTGTCTACAAAATCAAAATTATGATGTCATAGACTCTGCCTGATACTCGCCAGTTCTCCATCTTATAAAACTAGTCTTAAAAATTGCCCAGTCTGGTCCTTAAACCCCCAAAATAGGCCTGGTGGGTGGCTCACTCCTATAATCCCAGCTGTGAGGAAGGCAGGTGGATTGCTTGAGCTCAGGAGTTCAAGACCAGCTTGAGTAAGAGGGAGATCCCATCTCTACTAAAAATAGAGAAAACTATCCCAGTACTTGGGAGGCCAAGGCAGGTAGATTGCCCTGAGCTCACAGGTTTGAGATCAGCGTGAGCAAGACTGAGACCCCATCTCAAAAAAATAGCAGGGTGTTGTAGCAGGTACCTATAGTCCAAGCTCCTCGGGAGGTTAAGGCAAGAGGACTGCTTAAGCCCAAGGGTTTGAGGCTGCTGTGAGCTATGATGCCACAGCACTCTACCAAGAGCAACAAAGTGAGACCCTGTTTCAAAACCAAAAAACAGAGAAAACTAGCTGGATATAGTGGCAGGTACCTGTAGTCCCAGCTATTTAGGAGGGTGAGGCAGGAGGATCACTTGAGCCCAGAAAGAAAAAAAGCAGGCTTATAATTTAAAAAACCAAATTACGGCTCAGCGCCCATAGCACAGTGGTTACGGCGCCAGCCACATACACTGAGGGTGGTGGGTTCGAACTGGCACAGGCCAGCTAAACAATGACAACTGCAACAAAAAAATAGCTGGGTGTTGTGGTGGGTGCCTGTAGTCCCAGCTATTTGGGAGGCTGAGGCAAGAGAATCGCTTAAGCCCAAGAGTTTGAGGTTGCT